GAACTGAAATATTTCAAATTCAATAATGGTATGGACGTGCAAAGTGTGTGTATGGAGAATTTTTCTTACTTATTTATTTGTTACAGAATTGAAATTCACTCCAGGTATGTAGTTTTGATAAAGGTAAATCTCATTTTCTCAAAAGTGATAAAATGGACATTTCTCCTTGCTAATAGCCCTTCATTTCGTGATCTCATAATGTTGATCCATCTGTTCGCTCGACTTGCGTCGAAAGCTGGCAGCTTGTCTGGCGTCTTTTTCTGGCAGCTGGACGCCATGGCATCGCTGTTGGTGTCGCTGCCATGGCATCCTAGTGCGATACAGCCCTAAAAGTCAGAGAGTGAGTGCTAAGCACCCGGACGGCAACTTTCGGTAGATTTCTGTTGGGACACGCGTTTGCCAGCGGCACGCTGTGGAATGTGCCAAATTCTGCATCGTCAGAAGTCTGGATTGCGTCCAGTCATTTAAACTTCACTTTCGACAGCGTCCACTCACTTCTTTGCCGTCTCAGTACGTCACTTATTTTCTTTACACTTTCTAAGCATCCATAACGTGATTCTCGTGGCCTGAGGTTGCTATAATAACAGTCCTGGGTGCACGCGGTAAATTACCCCGGAGCTGGAATTGCCTTTCGTCCGGAGAAAGGGCGAGGATTTATTTATTTAAGATGATTGCAATTGATGGATTCGTGACCTCGGCACTAGAAGGCGATTAAAGTTTAGCTTCACGCTGCGACTGCATTACCCTCGCTGGAAAACACAGATGACGATTCGATTACGCGGTCTGTACGTTTCGGCGAAGAGAAATCTTGCTTTGCCGGGAATCAAACCCGGTAATAAAGCGAAAATTGATTGAGCTGTGTGATTGCTTAGTTTGTCAGTCAGACAAGATTTCAGTTTCTAAGACAAATATTACCATGGACATTAGCTGTCTCGATGTTTTGTGACTGTATTTCTTCCGTAATAGTTAACTTATGCTGTCATTAGTTGCTTGATTATTTAGTTTGTCGATGTTCGTAATGAAGTGGTTATTCAGGCAAACGCTTAATTACGCCTCCGGATCCCCGGAGCATTTTATGATTGTCGATCGCGTTATACCACTCGTTATTTTTAGCGTTGTGCTCTACATTACACTTTGGTCGTTAATTACTTGGCGAAATGACCATGACACACGTTTGCTGTGACAATTGAATGCAGACATCCGAAACGAGTCATAGTGGCTGCTCGTAATCTGCTCACCGCCAATAGCAAGGCAGTAAAACCAAGAACCGTTAATTCTTGACGTAGCTTGGATCAGATGCTGTGTGACGACGTCGAAACAACTACATGAACTTGGTAGGATTTGAGGTTCTGACGGTGGTGAGTCCGAAGATGGCTGTCTTCTGGTTTGTAGCGCCGTGTAGTCTGGTAGAAGTTTAACAACGCTTCAGAGGTTCTTGCCCTGAAGATGGAGGCAGTAAAGACCTCTGAAACGTTCGTAAGCTTGTGCCAGACTACACGTCGCTACAAACCAGAAGACAGTCATCAAAGGAACGAGATGAGATGGAAATGATTTTTTGCTGTGGATTAGTCGCCTATTTTAGGGAATTTTGAAGAAAAATTTTCTGTGTGACTTAGGAAAAACGTGAAAAAAATGTTATACTGCCTGATTTCAATATTTTGGATTCTTAATGTGATTTTTTTCATCTCGTTAGACGTATGAGAGTTGAAGTAGTTGGCAGTTTGATGCATTTGGTATTTGGATTAATATTAATTTAATCTACTAATTGTAAACGTAGACGCTTAATGAAAATATTTAATTGAAATACAATAAGATAATATCACCGCATTGTTTATTTTCTTCCTGGAACTACGATGACAAAAAAGAATCATCGCTTTTTGAGTCTTGACGCAGTATAGATGTTCAGTGCTGTACCACTCTAGAATTTGTTTTAAATATTTCGCTTTGGCTTGGACCAAAGTCAGATGCGTTATTAAACGCGATATCATTGGAATAGAAACATTACTTTTCATCCAGTCGTGAAACCTCCTTTTATGGCATGAAATCCGTAATTGCCGATTGTAATTTCGACTGTGTTCGGATACACTTGTAGCTTTCACCTTGCCGTTGGGCGAGAAACACGTGACTTACAGGTTGGATGCGGTCGGAGGGTTTACCAAGCCGGATATCAGCTTCAGATACTGAAAACAGAATCGATACGTACATATATATAGTGATTTACGGGGGAACAATCCTATCAGCAGTCAAGACACTGCGTTGCTGTGGAAACGTCGATTTGAATTTGACGGAAACGCTAGTTGATGGTTTGTACAATAGGAACTGTCACTTCTATGGCATTATTTGTTATTGATTTTTCTAAACATAACGCCTGTAGTTACATCTCAAAAAATGAAATATTTGCTACCCGAACTTTTTTTTTCGAGGAACGAATATATAAAACCCAATTAAAACGTTTAATATTTTCGTCCTGGCGGGTCAGAGGTAAAGTCCCAGGGCCAAGGTCGTCTTAACGTGCTGGCTGGCCTCGCCTGTCGCGTACCTCAGCGTCTGTTATATACGATATGTGGCATTGGTGGAATACTGAATGTCAGGGTGACCTTTCTTTACCAGCTCAAACCTCAAACGGACTGACCTGGAATTGAAGCCGGGTCTTTGTCGAAGTACTACGAATTAGTGAATCACTTGTCGCCACTTCACGTCGCGTTCCTTGTCTACGGGTGGCGGATCGGACTCCACATATGAGGAGAAGTTGCGAATAAACACTCGGGGACAGCCGACAATGGGCTGCCATTAAACTTGAGTTCATAGCGTGGAAGTAAGAATATATCTTGAGTTTAAGATGGAGGTGGTTTTTACCTCAGAGACGTTGGTATATACAGTCCACGACTGTAATCTTGAGACTTGCGGGGTGAGAAGGTGGGGCGAAGGAGGAAGGAGGAGAGATAGCGTCTGCCTTTAACGCTTCGGACTTCCTGCATCCCTTGAAGTCTCAAGATTACAGTCGCGTAATATACCTACGTATCCACATGGCGTTAAAAACCAAGAAGACCTACCAGCACTGACATCTTCTTAGCCTTGAGGACCTCAGATCTTGTCCCGACTTATAGGCTGTTGCGCTATTAGGTTAGGTTACATTGGAGCAAAGCTGGTGGATCCTGAGGTGAAAGCCAATTCATCTGCGTTAAGAGTGATGCAGATGATTAATTTGAAACAATACATCAGTACGCTTTGTTAAGGATTCAATACAGATACATTCAACGTCATATTTAATAGGGCCATAGACATCTGTTTAAAAGTAAATAAATTGTATACTCACAATTTGTGAATTATTAACACGTTACTTGTTGAGTGTTATTAATTCATAATGGCCTTGTTTCGATAGTAACACGTACTTTCTGTTGATGAAGCCACTAACTATGCTAAATTACGTTACTTCAACTGATCTTATCAAACAACATATAAGGTCAGACGAGATTAGCCAATTTTCTTAAACGAAATATATCGTTCGTGTAATGGAAAAAGATAAATACTTAGCAGTGTAAAGTCTCTGCGTTGTATTTTAATGAATTACAGAAATAAATACTTTTGTTGTACAAATAAACAGTTTAATAAGTTTAAGTTAAAATGTATAATGTAAAATAAAATAAAATACATCTGCAAGGAAAGGGTTTCGAGGCATACAGAACATGGATCGCTCAAGGATAAATCAGAACTGCTGTCAATAATTTGTTAGCGTGTTGGGAATTTTAAGTTTATTCGGCTCTGATTCGTGATTATAAATATTTAAACTTTTAATAAAGTTAATGGAATACATGAAAGAGGTGACTGATTTCTGATATTGATCCTCAGGCTCTAGAAAATTCATTTCTCAAATATAAAAAAAGTTGCGTAACAGAAAATTTAATAAGAGTAAAGCTTAAAAGTACAACAGAATATCTCCTGTATATGGCAACAAATGTAATGAAATTTCAAAGCGTGAATGATGGTAATAATAACAATAAGGATATTAATAATAATTTAAAATATTAAATGTTAACTGGTGAATTTCTTGTACCAATTTTTGCTCTCAGAGTTCCTTGGCTTAAGTCACGTGTCATAAATTAGCCCCTTAATGACAAAACACGTCACAGATATTTCGAAACCGTATTGGTTTAATCTATATTTACATTAATTCCCTGTAATGTTAACGAGATTTCTCTTTATTTGCAATAATATGCCAGTCACATAAACCTTCCGTCCCTAAAGTCACTTCAATATTTTTTCTCTAGTCACTCTTTCGATATCCCACTACATTTATATTCGTTAACTGAGCTACGTCTCCAGCCCATCGCAGCCGCGTAGATTTCTCTGCACTAACGATGACCTATATAAACCATTTATAGAATAATATTAAAATGATTTTTGGGAAATGTAAAGTTGTAAATGGGATTGAACTAGCTCAGGAGTGCGTCCGTTGTCGGAGTTTAGGTAACACCGGTTACTTCTAAAATGTGGCACCCTTGTGTTAACTTATAATCCGGAACAGAAATGTCTGCTGTTCGGTTGATATGAGGAATTTTACACCGTCATTCACAGGAATGTACAACAGAATTATGACGTGTCATAATGCTGTTGGAAAAAAAAAACCACTATATTTTGTGTTATGCAGATACACGGTTACATTTAAAATTATGTATTTCTTAATTAGATGCCAGCACGGTGCGCTTTTATTAATTATAATATTATATACACGATTATCTATGCATTGCTTAATCCGTTCGCTGATTATTCGTTTTTTTTTGAGTCTTGTTTAATTTAGTTTAGGTTTGTAATGCCCGGCTTTGTCGTATATTTTTTCAAGGGCATATCTGAACAAAGACTTCGCTCTCCTCCGGTCTGTTTTAGTTCCCCTTACATTTTGCGCGCATTTGGATACTCCCTCGATGAAAGGGGGTTCAAATAGAAACAGCTCCAGTGAATTTCTGTTGTTAGTGCTACACTAATAATCGATAAGATAAAGATTGCAACACTGATTATCCGTGTTTTTTTTTCGAATATTCTTGCCTCTTTTTTCTAGACACGAATAAGACAGTCTACATATTCGATAATCACTGTGCGAACAATGGCGTTTTACAGTTTCCAAGACACACGTAAATGAAATGTCCTATTGTGTAATCACTTGCAAGCCACTGTAATACACAGTCAGTGACACTTAAGTTCTGGTGGCTGCCAGCTGTGATGTGGGAGTGACGTAACATGTCAGCGACGACATCTGTGAGAGTTTTAGTAGTTACATGAAGTCCGGTGAAAGAGGCGGCCACCGGGTCCACCACGACTAATCCATTTTCCGTGTAAATGTTTATATATATTTTATTTCTTTTGGAAATCATTGTCGCTGGAACTGTGTGTCATTCTCAAGTGGTTCTGATTCCATGAATAGAAAATATAATCAGCAAGAAGTTTAATTTTCGGGCAGATACCGATAAATAAACGGAAACCTAGGAATTTATTCCGCGTCACAGCCGGTAGTCACAATAAACTACTGTAGAATACACTTAAACGTTAAGTGTACTTAGTAGTTAATAAGACGAGGAGATTAAACTTTGTAAGTGTCCTGAAATTTGTAGAACTGCTTTTGTATTAATATTATCGTTTTTGGAGTGTAATTACGATGCCAAGTAAGTGAGGTTAGGTTGCCCCCCGTCGCCTGTAGCTAGTCCAGGTGGAGACGCTGGTTCTCATCCGCATTTGACGTTGTACCACCAGTCACAGTGACTTAGAGCCTGGTTGAACACAGTTCCTTTGGGGCAGATGAAGGAATCTCGCCTGCCGTCCTTTTGACATAAATGAAACACCTGAAACACGAAAATAGTCTTTAAGAGTTGTTTGCGCCGTTTAGTCTGACACGTGTTTACAGACGTTTCAGAGGTCTTGCTGCCTCCGTCAGCAGGGGTTGAAACTTCGGTAAACTTCTGTCAGGCGCTGCATCCCAAAATGCAGGCATCTTCGGAACCTCAGATCTCACGACAGCAGTTTTGTTTGTAGGGCGGTAATACCTCAAATAACTTGACGTTCTTGAAACAGATTTTAATAAAAATTTATCAGTATTTTTAAACGATGTTTAAAGAATACAGACGAAACGGACGGACAGACGTATAAGCTCAAGGAACGTATTATTTAAATGTGAATTTGTGAAGGGCATATGTTCACGAAGAAAATGGAAGTTGTGAGCGATATTTGACCGGAGAAACGTTTTGGCTCGGCTTCGTATCGATTGTCGACCTATCGATAAGCTTTAGTCGGACGTTGAAATAATGGACGAGGAAAACTTCAAAAGGCGGACCCCTCTATTAGGTTAGGCCAACAGCAATGAATCTTCTGTTAGTGTGTGTGTGTACGCTTCCACGAACTGAGCGTCGCAAAATATCTATTGAAGGCGTCATAAATGTGTGGTTAGCAAATTGTGTTCCGCGGAACCAAACCCTTCTGTCGTCATTTCTACATGTCCGTCCGTCTGTTTGAATTTAGCCGATGTCGTCAGTCGATTCGAAACCCTTGTTTTAGTATTGCAACACTCGGCAAGCGATTACCCTCGTCTTTACAAACGCGCGCTAATGGACGTAGCATTTAACAACTTGACAGACCAGAATGATCAGCTGTTGATTGCCTCACCACGTGGTACGCTGGTTCAGTTCCCACCACGCGATTGATTTGTGTGATTCGGAGGTGGTATTTGCATTTCTTTGCTGTGACGGATAGCTAATGGCTTGCGGGTCTATAAAACATTGTCATGGTGTAATTTTACTTTTCACAGACGATAAAATGATCCCATATATCATTCAGGAAAGAAAATCAAAGCGTGAAGTGGTCATTATTCGTGTAATTTTGGTGCTCCGTACTTCAGAATTCTCGCCACAGATCGATCAAGTACAGAACTTTCTTTCTGTTTAATCCGCTGGTCATTTATCTACTTCATGACTCGCGGGATGAGTGATTAACCCAAGACTAAGTACTGATTGAAGATTTTATTGTCTGGACGGTTCACGAATCGACTTTCTCGTTCGTTCACTGCCTAATCGGAAAGTTCGTTTGAATTCTGCTCCTTCCGTATCGTCATCCCTCAAAGGAAAAGACAGACGGAGAAAATGCTCCTTCCGTATCGTCATCCCTCAAAAGAAAACACAGACGGAGAAAGAAGGTGATGAAAGGAGGGCGAAAGAGACTGATAAACTGAGGTAGAGACGAAGGAAAATGGGAGAGGTGGAAGGAGGTTGAGAAGGAAGATTAATAAATCGAAAGGGTGCGTGACCTCTTTTTTTGTGGGAGGTTTCTGCTACAGCGGGATGCAGATTTTGGCGAGAGGCTGGACACGAACACCGTGCCGCTTATTTACGTCTCGAAGCGTTACAGTTTTGAGGAACGTGGACGTTCCAAGGCCTTAATGCAGGCAGGTTACGTCAGTGAGGCGAGGGAGGGGGGGGACGTGCCCTCACCCGGGTCACGCTCCGATGAACTCTTGTGCGGACTTGGAATTTAATTCGCAGAACCCGGACAGGAATGGCATTAGGTCCTTGGCCAGTCGCCATGTTACCACTTATGGGTGTGAAACTTGGACCTTTCTCTCCGAGTTGGGCGTATAAACTGGAAAGATTCGCGTTGCGCAATTCTGTTCACATTTATGTGTTGTTATCTGTCTTACGAAGAACTTGAGTAAAAACTTTTTTGCGATTCTACGCTGTGATTTTTAATTTGATTTTAGTATATACTGATGATGCAACGGAAAATAATGACCACGGTGAAAAATGGGCCCTGATGATGGAGGCAGTAAGCACCTGCGAAACGACGGTCAGTTTCTAACAGAGTACCTGGTGCAACATCCCAGAAGACAGCCTTCTTCAGGATAGAATTTAAAATGTAATTCTTGCAAAAGAGGTAATAATTATAAAATATATTTAACGACGTTACGAAGTTGGTTAAGGTTTTCTCCGGGACTCCTTCTTGTACTCCTCTGCTCTGATTCTATGATTTGGCCGTTGTCTTGCGTAAACACAGACTTCAGACTCTCGTTCAAAGTTGTCGAAATATTTCCTGTTACGCGTAAAGAAACAAGACGAAGTTTCGTCCATTTTCCCACAGCTGTGAACAACATCTGGCCGTAAGGAACACAGTTCCTGATGTTTGAATGTACAATTTAAAGTTCTGTTTTGTAATCCATGAGGAACTTATATTATAAGCCCGATAACAACCCTCCTTTTACCGACGTTGTCATGTAGAAAAGAGGTTTCAAGTCACATAACACTTCAGAATAAAAGCTTTCAATTTGCTCCGAAATAAAAGCACGTTTGTTTATAATGGTTACCGATTTTAAGTCGACTAAATACCACTAATTTTCCACTATTTACAGAGTAACATCAGAATTGAGGTATAAACGTGTGGCTTAAATGCAGCTACAAGATTCCTCAGTACTGAGTCACGGGCGATTTAACAGCTACGTAAAGCATCCGTTTAAAATGGTTTAAAATGAACCGAAATTTTAAAAATTACGTTTCGAATTTTTAACTTTTACGTATTGCAATGACACGTCAGTTACTTTGATAATGAGAGTAAAACATGAAGATGGCTGTATTCTGGGTTGTTGCGCCATGTAGTCTGGTAGAAGTTTACCATCGTTTTAGAGGTCTTTGCTGACTCCATCGTCAGGGAGATTGAGAGTAAAATACTTCGAAATGTACTCGTTACGTGTTGTGTTACTTTACTGATGGCTGGGGCTATATTACACCAGCTGTTCTTCTGGGATTTATTAGGTTGAAAACATATGGAAGAAACTTTTGTGACTTCCTAGTACGTAGGGGCAGAAGGGCTTGTTACCAGGTCCATTGCTTGCCACGCGTTGTCATTTCTGAATAAATTTACGTGTTTTAGGAGCACTCTGTGCGTGAACAGCATAAATGTAGAAACGGAGTAGCGGATGGAGAATAGTTAATGAGATAGTAGAAAGTTGGAGTAGAATTTATTAAGGTAAAATAGTTTTGTCGTTTCGTACCGAAATCTCCCTGTTAGAAGAGAAGTCCAAGATCTTATTTTCGTTGAGAAATGCAGTGTTCTAGACGCAACACGTGTTGTGCCACACAGGAAGGAACACGAAGCTGTTGGAGCCATGCATTTGCATGACGAAAGTATGTTCCTAACACAATTAACAGCAGAGTGTCGTCGAAACAAGACTGTTGCCTGCAAAAACTCTAAGCTACTTCAAGATTTCAGTGGCACTGTGCACTTATAGTGTATACAAATCTGTTACTTCAAGTCTTGGAGTTGAATTTTTTGGACGGACAGACATGATGACAACAATATGTGCCTATTTGATAACATGAAGTCTCGCCAAGTGAATATCTCCTGTCACGTGACAGATCTCACCTGACATCTCGTCCGTTTGTCCGCGTACATTTTGTCCTTCTGACGAATTTCACTGCAGGCGAATCCAGTCTCTGGGATGTTGCTGTAGGAGGGGTAATCTCTCCCTTCAGTGCCCGGTATCTTGGAGCCCTCTGAGTGGTAGATTCGGGCTGGAGATTGCCTTACCAGTCGCCCATGGTTATAAAAGTGTTCGAAGAAGGCGTCCAGGTCTGTGGTCAGCGTCTGAAAGTAAATGGTTCGGTGTTTTGAACGCCTCGGGTGGACATGGTTTTTTGGGAAACCTGAGCGTAGTTGGGAGGATGATATTAAAATTGTATTTTAAAACATACGGGAACACAAGTAGTTCTCAACACGTCGTACGACACTCTTACTTACCTTGAGATGTTTCGGTCCATATGTTGAAGATGCAAAGAATTATGAATTAATAATTTCTGTGCCATAGTTTTCACTAGTTGGCATTCCGACTTCGTTGGTAATTTGTTTGTAATTGTAACCCTTAAAAGTCGATTCACAAAAGAAAATTGTAGACATGCGTGTGACTGTCTTCGTACAAAACTTCGCGTGCTTAACCCCACTGGTTAATTAATTTAAATCAGAAGCCAAATGACGGATTTCGCGATGGCTTGACGGCGTCTGAATTCCACAGAAGAAATTCCTTTGCAAGAGCTGCACATTAGGCTGTAGTGTTACACAAGATTTCATAGCCTTGTGCTAACACGCTGGTATTCTCACCTCGGATAATAGAAAGCAACGCGGTTGGGGAGATCACAGATACTTCTAGGATTCTGGCTGGAAATTCTGAAGGAAAGAGACCACTCAGAAGACCTAGACGCACATGGAAGGATTACAAAATGAATATTATGGAAATATGGTTCAGTTGGCCCAGGATAGAGACCTCACCTAATCAGTGAATGAACCAAGCCACTAGAAAAAATTTGAGGGCAAAGTGACGAACCAAATTCTGAGTAACGCAACTAACAATCAACCCGACGAACGAACATCTTACCTGCGGTGTGTAAAACGGGTAGAAATGATCCGAGAACAGTCTCTGGTGGCTCTGGAAGAAGTAGCTGTCCGTGTCCTCCACGTACAGGGGAAGGCTGCTCTCAGGCTCTGGCTTCGCCGGTAGCTCCAGTGGTGCAGGT